TTGGTAGAGTAGTTGTTCAGTGGTTCAGGTCTGGTTTACATCAGATTCAGGACAGTGTTTAGATCAGGTTCATAGTTACATAGTTAGTTTGGCTAAAAAAAAGACAAAAGTTCATCCAGTTCAACCATTAAAAAAAAAAAAGTTATAATCCTATACCCACAGTTGATGCAGAGGAAGGTAAAAAAAAAACCCAGCAAAGCATGAATTAATTTGCTCCTGCAGGGAAAAAAAATTTCTTCCTGATCCCCGAGAGGCAATTGGATATTCCCTGGATCAACGTTACCTATAAATGTTAGTATCCAGTTATATTGTGTGTATCTAGGAAACAATCCAGGCCTTTTTTAAAGCAATCCACTGACCTGGCCAGAACCAACTCTTGAGGAAGTCTATTCTACATTTTCACAGCTCTCACTGTGAAGAAACCTTTCCATGTTTGGAGATTAAATTTCTTTTCCTCCAGATGTAAAGAGTGCCCCCCTGTCCTCTGTGATGACCTGAGGGTGAATAACTCTACACTGGGTTCACTATATGAACCACTGATGTATTTATACATGTTGATCATATCCCCCCTTAATCTCCTCTTCTCAAGAGAGAATAAATTCAGTTCCTCTAATCTTTCCTCATAGTTGATCTCCTCCATGCCTCGTATCAGTTTGGTTGCCCTTCTCTGTACTTTCTCAAGTTCCCCAATGTTCTTTTTGTGAATTGGTGCCCAAAACTGAACTGCGTATTCCAGGTGAGATTCAGGTCAGGATTATATCCTGTTCACAACTGATGATTTGTGATATATATATATAGAAATGGTTCCCATAGAAGTCAATAGCCTATAATCCGCACATGAACCAGCCCTCACTGCTCAGAAATCAGACATGACTCTTTTTCAATCCTTACAGAATCCACACAGTCAGTGCACCGGACATATGTGAACAGGCACCATAGGAAGCAATGTTATTTCACATGTCATGCCGATTGGATGTGGTTCAAACTGCATCCAATCTGCATATATGTGAACCAGCACTTACTGTTTATATCCAATAACAAGCAATGTTTCATGTTATATATTTTGCTTTGATATAAGTGCACATGATTTTTTGTCTTTGTATCCAACAATATTCCAGGTCCAGTGTATCTCATTTTTGAATACTGCCCCTATGGTGATCTTCTCAACTACTTGAAGTCTAACAGAGAGACATTTCACAAGACATGGTCAGATATCATTAAAGACAACACCTTCACTTTTTACCATAATTTTAACCAGGAGGAAAAGTTCAGGTAAATGTTTTTGCTTTTAGGTATGTTAATATGTGCTGCTTTTTATAATTTAAAAGACTTCTCATTTTTTTAATACCAGCAAATTTAAGTCAAAACATATCCACTTGAACTCATACAGGAAAAAAAATATCCTTTTTGACACCTAAAAGCAGTCAATTGCCCGAGTCAAATATTTCCTATATTTGCCTTTAAGAATGATAACTTTAACATTTTTGTGTTAGATATGGAAAACTCATCAAGTATTTTTACAATATTAACCACTTCATCACAAGAAGGTTTTACCCCCTTCATGACCAAGGCATTTTTTTTGTTATTCAGTGCTGTGCTGCTTTAACTGGCAATTGCTCAGTCATGTAAAATAAATTTTATAAATTTTTTTCACATAAACAGAGCTTTCTTTTGGTGGTATTTAATCATCACTGGGTTTTACATTTTTTGCTATATAAACAAAAAAATACCCAACATTGTGAAAGAAAAACACGGTTTTTGTTGTTTCTGGTATAATACTTTGCAAACAAATAATCATTCTTCATAAATTTAGGCCAAAATGCAGTCTGCTACATTTCTTTGCTAAAGATAACCCAAATCAGTGCATATTATTTAGTCTGTGGGAAAGGTATAGAGTCTACAAACTATTATATATATATATATATATATAAGAAAGTTGATCAACCCTGATGTACTGATCTAATTTTTTGAGGCTTAAAATGCCTGTACACGACAAATACCCCCCAAATGACCCCTTTTTGAAAAGGAGACAGTCCACGTTATTTAGTAAAATATTTTTTTTTAGATTTTTTTAAAAATAATTTTGTACTTTTTTTGTCACAATTTTTTGAAAGAAATTAAATAAAACATGTTTTTTTTTCACTTTTTTTTACATACTGTCACCAGTACAGTACAGTGTTATTATATGTTTGCCGTTGATCAGGGATACTGACTGTGCACAGTATGTAAAAAAAATTTAATTATTCAGTCTTTTAAACATTATTTTATTATTTTTTAATTTTTAGTGACACTGTGCTACTCAAGGGGGTGATTTTTTTACACTTGTATTGCTTATAACAGTGATGATCACTGTTATAAGTAATAGTTAACTGACTTTCCATTCATGATAGCAGGCTGTGATTGGGTGCAGCTAATCGCATGGTACAGAATTCCAGGTACTATGTGTTAGCTGTGGACCAATCACAGTTTCACAACAGTAAGCAAGCAGTCATGAATGAAATTGCTATGATTGGTCAAAGCGATCACAAGATACCCCGACTGCTCACAGTGGCCGGATACCAAGCGTCATGATCACGCGGCTGTGGGCCCCAGGGGGCCTGCCAGTGCTAATGTGCTCAGCGACGTAACAGTACATCACTGAGCCTGTATCTGCCTCCCGCTTGCAGTAAAAGTACTGTGGGAGGGTGACATGTGGTTAAAAGATCCTAACACATATACTCTTGTAATGTTGGGATGATGCACTTTCAATAATTATTCCTAAATATTGATCTTTAGATCACCAGTAACTGCATTATGAATGTCCTAAGTCAATTTGCTTGGCAATAAGGTCCCAGGCACATTCATCTCAGGTTGTCAAATAGATAAGTGAACGCAACCTGAAAGTGTAATAGGGAGCAGCTAGCATAAAAAGGCAATCCTCAACACCTCAGCAATAAGTCATAAAATAAATATGCATAAAACTCTAATATATGTGAACAAATGTGATCACTATAGAAAGTGCCAAAGCGGCGTGATAATGTCCACGTTATAGCAACTGCTGCTAATACAGATGTTGTTCCAAAAGTGACAATGGTGATAAGTCAGTAAAACTGGATAGAACAAATAGTGCTCGGTGTTCCGTGACTTCAACTTGCTGGTGTAAAAATCTGGTACAATAATGCACTTACCAGAAGTACATATACTCAGGGCATTATATGTATAGCATATCCGTAGCGGCATCTAGGTCTGGTCAGCGGTTATGATGACATCCGGCACTATGGTAGACACTCAGGAATGATATGACACACACTCGGGGGTCACCTCAGGCTCACCGGTAAGTCCAACGCAGTTCAGATTCCTAATTGCACTCTCCAGAAGGCTCCACCTTGTGAGGCTTGCAAAAAATGAGCCAGGGGGCAAAATAGTGCTAATAGTGTAGTATGTTTTATTAATACAGAGAAGATCCAGATAAACAATAATGAAACTAACATGAAGTATCACATGGCCACCAGGCCTTCCTCACAGGCTCAATGGTGGCTTAAGGCGTCAATCTGATGGATTCCCCTGACATGTTTCGTGCGACCAGCACGTTTTCAAAAGAAAGTTTCACATATATTAGAGTTTTATGAGCCATACTGGTTTATCATTTTCCTAGCGCTGCATATTTATTTTATGACATTCATCTCAGGGAGCGATTCTTCTTAGCATGTTGAAAATGATGGGTTACTTTAGTTAAAGAAAAATGTTTTAAAATTTTGGATAGACTAGAGGGAGATTAGAACTCTTGTCAGGATGTATTGCTGTCTGTGATCCCTTTAATTGTCCTGTTTACCAAAATCATTCAAAGTGAAAAAAAAAAAAAAATTGGGATTGACATTAGAACGGAAATAGAAGGGAAATCTTTGAATGGAGACACTAGTTCTGGTGACCCTGGTGACAGCCCAGAATTCCCTCACTTTGGAGGGATTTCCTCTCACTTCCTGTTTTGACTCTGCTACTAGGAAGTGAAAGGAAATCTCCCCAAAGGTACACAGAGCTTATAACCAACCCTTACTATATCCAGAATTTAAAAAAAGTTTTTCCTTGAGAGACACTTTAAGGTTTTTTGTAGTTTTATTGCACATGTGAATGAGAAGTAGGGTCCTTAACAGCATCATTAACAAAGAATGTAAATAAACAATGCTGATTAATGGATGCAAACCTTGATCAAGATACGTTTCTCCTGCAATGGTCCATATGGATCTCATATTCTTCTTTGAATGCTGTGAAACACTCATTCCATGTGTTATAGTCTTAAGCCAGCCACAGACCGATCAAAATTCAGCTGGTTCTGCAGGGATAAACTGGTCCCACTGGTTGATTGAAAAAAATATGCATCATCTATGACCTGCCTTAGCGAGCAGTCTTGTTACCTCCCACTGAAGGATTTAAATTCTCTCAAATTTTATTTCTGTTCCTTTTTACTCAATTTTTACCTTGATATTGTATTGTGTCGGCCCCAGTCTGGACCATTTTCTTCCTTCTCTTCTCCCTTATCTTTTCTCTCTTTCTCCTCTCTTTTGCTTTCCCCTTTCTTTCTCTTTTTAGTCTACTGCTTTTTCCATATATCCCCTTCCAATGGAATATTGATTCCTTCATTGTTATTACATTTATCCATTGGAGATGTTCTCCAGAGATGTTCTACCCTTTGTATTCCCCTTTTTTATATATACAATTTGTGGAAGACCCTGTTCATGCAATAGCCCATCATTTACTTTAGTGTATTGCCATACATTAGTCTTATATGTTGTCTTGCTAAATATAGGACTCTTATGGATCAAGCCCATATCCATTTTGCTGTACCCTGTTTATGTTTATGCTTTATACTTTTGACTGAAAATAATAATATATACTGTATATTCAGTGTTAATGAGTGTGAACCTGACATTATTGCATTTTCCCAAAATAAATAATAATACAAATAGTATCTTTTATCCCTTTCTCTTGTATGTGCTCTTGTAGAGAAAGACTTGTGACATCAATAAGCAACTGCTCCTACAGTGGACTAACTCCTTCACACAGCACATGTGACAAAAACCAGTACAACTGGGACATGTCTTCCGGACATACTGAGCTCCTCCAAGCTGAAGGTATAATAAGAGTTTTATGTTTGAAGGGATTATGATAAAAGGAATAAGTAAAGGCCTGCAAGAATAACTAATTAAAATTTTCTAACTGGAACCAATTAGGGCACAAAGGCACCAGATAGCCCCAGCTGTGAAGTGGCTGAGTTTCTCTAGTGTTTTTCAGTGACAAATATAAAACAAGCTTAATGCCCCATACAAACTTGGTGTTTAGCCCCGCTGCATGAGGCTTTGGAGTTGAATGTAGTGAAAAAACTTATACGCTACTATGGGTCAAAATGAAATATAATGTCACCCCCCCAAAACTATATAAGTAGCTGCTACAACACAAGAAACCTTGCCTCATATGAGGGCAAAATCAAGATGAGAAAATAAAAATATGACTGTGCAGCGCTACACATTAAATATAAATAAATATGTGAATACTATAAAAAATATCATAGGAAAAGTCCCAATAAATTTCTTCTGAACAAATATGATCACTGGTGCTCCAAAAAACAGAGAGAGTACACAATTCCTCCACCAGATGTCTGCTCACCTCCAGCAGTGTGACCTCACATCATATAATGCTTGGTCTAACCGCACTTTTGGTCCCAATTTGGACTCTGAAGATCAACTGGATGAATAATGGATCCCAATGGCTAACTCCACAGAACCCCCTTCACCGATATTAATCCAGCTAGCTTGCAAAACAACCAATTTGGCCCTGTCTAACAGTATGCGTTAAAAACAGAGGGTTTTGTTTGCACACATTTGCAAATACATGCATAAGCCACAGTCCCACGTCAAGAGTCCTCTGTATACTGTGGACCTAACTAAAACGCATGTATTTGCAAATGTGTGCAAACAAAACCCTCTGTTTTTAACGCATACTGTTAAACAGGGCTAAATTGGTCATTTCACAAGCTGGCTGGATTACTACTGGTGAAGGGGGTTCTGTGGAGTGAGCCATTGGGATCCATTATTCATCAACTTGATCTTCAGAGTCCAAATTGGGACCAAAAGTGCGGTTAGACCAAGCATTATATGATGTGAGGTCACACTGCTGGAGGTGAGCAGACATCTGGTGGAGGAATTCTCTCTCTGTGTTTTGGAGCACCGGTGGTCATAGGAGGGAGGATATTTGTTCAGAAGAAATGTATTGGGACTTTTCTTATGATTTTATTTATAGTATTCACATATTTATTTATATTTGATGTGTAGCGCTGCACAGTCATATTTTGTTTTCTCATCAGGCTTTGGAGTTTAGATACAGTTGGAAGGTACTGATGTCCCATCCAGTCCCACTGCTGGATGCCTGTCAAAATCTATGAGAGGCTTAAAACTGCTGTGGCTGAATGGTACTTACTGTATGCTTGCAGTGCAGTATGCACCCAGGTATGAATTCTCAGAAAGCAAGCAGTCTGCCTTGCAGAAATTCATCTCTGGGCGCATACTGCATTAAATGTAAGTACCACTCAATGCACTGCCCAACCCCATCCAGCTGCAGCAACTGTCAGCCTTTCATAGAGTTTAACAGGCTTTCGGTAGTGAGGCTGAACGGTACACTTGTACCTTATACCTGTACTTAACTGCCAGAGTCTAAGGCACCGGGACTAAATTCCCAGTGTGAATGAGGCCCTAGGAAAGAACTTGATCTCATAAACTGTTGGTTAACTGTCTGTGGGTCTATAAAAAAAAAATTAAAAAAACCCAACAAAAAGGACCAATGGGCCATCCAAAGTAATTGTTATGCACAAATTAGACAAATGGGTAATAAGTTTTTTCTATACAGATATTTCTTGTGTATTTATACTGGTCACAGAAATGTGGATATATCCTTAAAGAAAATAAGAGACCTACATTAAGGCTAAGTTCACACAAGTGCAGATCCTGCGGCCCTTGTTTGCACGGCAGCCCATTCATTTGAATACTGGAGATTTAAGAAAAGGAAAAGAACACAACTACTCTACTCTTGACAAGGAGATTCTGTGCTGTAACCTTACTGACTTTGGTCAAGAGACCTGATTTTATGTGATGTTTTATTTTCTTCAGTGCAGTGTAGACTTCTTTATTTTATTCTGATCCTTGATGCCCCTGAATTACTGTTCTTTGGAGGTTTAAAACTATAAAAACTAATGCCTAGGTTGGATTTGGCCCCATTTTGGGGCAATAAGAGCATAACATACATTTATTCATCAGTTAATAAAAAAAAATACAATAAAATAATCTTTCAGATGTTTAATCACAAATACCCATCTGATTGAAATGTCATATATATACGGTTAGCCTAATCATCACATGCTTTGATTTTTTCTTATCTGCTCAATGTGCGATTCAATCAAAATGATAATCCCTACAGTTGAATAGCCTTAACTTTCCCTTCTGATCTATTTAGACTCAATTTCAATCAGACTTGATCAAACTGAGCCGTTTGGCCAGTGCAATATTATTGATCATTTAGCATCAGTTGGCAGAACCGAGATACTTTGTTCATAAATATATTCATCAGATTATGAGATTACATGGTGGAAACAGAAATGTGATGAATAATTTATGATCATAAGTTATGACTGTATCTTAACTATCCAAATCTTCTTTCCTGTGTAGCGCTACCCCCGTAGGGGCCACCGCTAATATCTAGTTCTTTCAATAGTACAGAGGCTGCCTGCCCCCACAAGCACCAGTCCATGCACTCCAGCTCCAATAACTCAGCCTAGGGAATGTCTTTTTGAAATGTATTACTTAAAGAACTTTTAACAGGAGAGGGGTTAGGGCATAGTCTTAGTCCATAGTTACCTCTGACACTTACATACCAAAATCGCTCACAATCACTAGGGTGTCACAATTCAGGGTCAGTACCCAGGACAGCTGCATACCTTTCAGCTTCCTTCAGACACTTCCCAATAACCAGATCTCATAGGGTGAAGTTCCACTATCAGCTTCTCAAACAAATTGCTTCTTCAGCTCTGCCACAGCTGAGACTGCAAAGAACAGCTACACAGTCCACAAGCTGCATCAAAGGGGCAGTAGCCCTAGAGGCTTTGGAAACCTCCCTGACAAGGAAATAACAATCTCTCCAAGGCAACAAACTATATATTAACTCCTGAGCAGGGGTGGACTGACAACTCATGGGGCCCCTGGGCAATAGGAAATCTTGGGGCCCCTGCGTCCTCGCCCACATTCAAGCCACACCCAAAAAAGCCTATGAAAGGTGCCAGGGCATCTCATGGGGCCCCCTACTGACCGGGCAGTGCTCGAGTGCCTAAATTGTCAGTCTGCCCCTGCTCCTGAGACACCTTCTTGACACTCCCCTCCAGGGTTTGGATAGGGCATGATAAATATTCAGGCTGGTCATTTGACTCTCCCAGTCCTATATTAAGGAAACTTCTTCCAGAAGCAGGGGGAAGCAGTCAAACTATCAGTCTGTGAAACCCTGAAGAGACCAGAGCAAATAACTACAGCTCCCTTAACTACAAAAGAAGCCAAAAACAAAATTTGTTTAGCATCCTAGGCTAGGAGGGTGCTACACTTGGTATTGATTTTGCTAGGAAATGTGACCATGTCTTGCAAATGCTTAATTGAATCTTCAACCAACTACTTTTCATAAGTCCTGTGCTATTTCCTTTTGAATATATGCTATTCATGCATTCTAACATGCGCCAATACCCTCAGAGTGCTGTATATGTATGCTATATTAGTTGAGATCTTCTTTACTGACCTACCTTAATTTATGACTTATTCCACCTTTCTTAACCTTAGTTTACTCCGAGCTGCTCCTCTCATTTGAGTTGGTTCTATCGCATTGGCGTGACTTACATTCTGGATTTCACCCCAGGTTTTTCCTGTGACACAGCTTGCGATGCACCTGCCCATCTGCTTTTTTTTGGCCCATTCTTTTGGCTCTGATCTTTGGCCCATCTGTGATTTTGTCTTACCCAATTTGTCTCCTGTTAAGAGAAGGTTACATATTTCTAGCTATGGTAATCTGTCATGTGAGATCTTGTGGCACCCACATATGAAGATCCTAATAATGTTTCCAGGAAAGGAGTCTACTGTAAAGGTCTGAAATAGAAGTTATTGTGTCTGAGCAATGACCTGACTCTTGCAGTCATCTTATGTGACAAACAGTGATGGGTAAAATAAAATTAGAACATTGCATGATGTGTACACTCAAGAGCTTTTAAAACCTCCTCTTTACCATGACAGCTTAAAAAGAGTAATAAAAGTTTTGTCTTCTTGTAAAGAAATGAAGTACCAAAACACCAGGAAGTATGATGAGGAGGACCTAAACATTCTCACGCTGGAAGATCTGCTGTCCTTCTCCTATCAAGTGGCAAAGGGAATGGAGTTCCTTGAATCAAAAATGGTGAGTTTGTTGCTATAAATAGATGGGATTGTTCTTGAACTTTCAAACCTTTGAACTGGTATGACCCAGTCACCACCCCAGTCACTGTTTTTATAGCACAGCTAAAAATGGACATGTCTGATTACTGTGGGATAATTAGAAACTCTAGAGAAACGGGGGGGGTGACAGGAGCTGTGATGGCTTGGAGAAATGATGTCACCCTTTCATGTTTATAATTAGGTTTTCTCCTTGTTCTGCCTCCATTTACATGGAAACTTCCTCTGTTCAGATGCTGTAGGTTATTTTTATAAACAATGTGCACAAATTAACACAGCTGTATTTTTAATCGTAGCTGCCTCAGGCACTGCACGTAATTGGGCAAAAAGATATACGCCAGTCAGTCTGGCAGATTTATTTTGGTAATATGCACAGCCTTCCCAATTAGGGTTTCTTATTAGCAATGCTTGAGTACAATTAGGCAGCTCCACTGTGCAAAACCTTGTAGTCATTAGTGACCACTGACTTGGCGTTCAGTGAACACCTGATTCTGAGCCTCTGGTTTTACAGGTAAATCATTCGGAACTATCTAATGAAAACCAAAATAATGGTGCCCTATATCCAAAGGGTAAAGGCAGGGGAAGTGTAAACAGATAAGCACAACAGGCTTGTTCAAGTCCAGTAAAAGTTTAGAAGACAAAGCAAATGATTGTCAGGGGCTCAAGGCTCCCCCTTCAATAGGGCTTGGAAGCAGGCTGTAATAGGGGACCAGATATATAAATGTAAGGCAATGCAACTTATAATGACAACAGTGTAATCTCCAACTGACTTTTTATCAAGAATAATAAATGCTTACTGGACTTGAACTAACCTATGGCATTCTCATCTTTTTACACTTTGTTTGGTCTTTCCAGAGGATCCTCAGGGATATCCCACATATCAGTGAGCTGTCTCCCTGTGCTCTTCGCTTTTGGATCCAGAACTTCCAACACCTGTTTACATAACATATGTTTTTTATATATCTATATATATATATATATTGATAAAACATATGGTGTTAATAGTACACATTGATTTACAAGAGGTCATAGACCCAGGCAGAGGCTCTCTTTCAGTCTTTACAAATCTGAACCCCAAAAATGACTAAAAAAAAAAATAGTTTAGATTTTGCTATATTCATGTTACCCATTATATGTAATGACAACTGATAATTCTGTTTTTTTTTTATTAGTGCATACACAGAGACCTAGCAGCCAGAAATATACTCATAACTGGTGGGAAGATAGCCAAGATATGTGACTTTGACTTGCCAGAGATGTAGAAAATGACTCAAATTATGTGGTTAAAGGCAATGTAAGTCTAATGGTTGTCTCTTCTCGCTTTTTGTGTTGTTACATTGTGGCAGTGAAAGTGGATTGTCAGGACCACAAGAATAAAATATTTATTTTCCTCAATAAACCATGGCACAACGTTTGCCATCAAAACCCCTTTCACAATTGGCAATTCCCTCAGTCATAATTCATGCACAACAAATTAAACTGAACTTCACGTAAACAGCTAAATACGCCACTGAAATACATACACTTACCGGCCACTTTATTAGGTACACCTTGCTAGTACCAGGTCGGACCTCCTTTTGCCTTCAGAACTGCCTTAATTCTTCCTGACATAGATTCAACAAGGTGTTAGAAACACTGTTCAGAGATTTTGGTCCATATTGACATGAATTAGTGTTGCCTTTCTATCATCTCAAACCAGTCTGCACATTCTCCTCTGACCTTGGACATCAAAAAGGCATTTTCATCCACACAACTGCCGTGTACCGGATATTTTCTTTTTTTGGACCATTCTCTGTAAACCCTAAAGATGGCTGTGCTTGAAAATCCCAGTAGATCAGCAGTTTTTGAAATACTCAGACCAGCCTTTCTAGCACCAACAACCATGCCAAGTTCAAAATCACCCAAATCCCCTTTCTTCTCTATTCTGATGCTCAGTTTGAACTTCAGCATGTCGTCTTTACTATGTCTAGATATCTAAATGCATTGAGTTGCTGCCATGTGATTGGCTGATTAGCAATTTGTGTTAGTGGCCAGTGAGTGTATATAGGTGCTGTATTTCATGGAATTGTTTTCTTTATCAAAATGTACTCTAAATTTTTGACTTGTCAAAATAGTCACCTTTTGCAGATATAAAAACAATATAAGAGGGTGCCAAACCATATATCCATTAGCAAGGCAACTGAACCTTTAAAGTGCAAACAACATTACAAAATATACAAAATAAAACAAAGATCGGCTCTGGCCCTTTAAACTGTGAAACATAAATGGTGAATTAATGAGAACTAAAATACACACAATATAAATATGCATAAACTTGATACTGTATGTGCAAATGAAAAAAGTCCAAATGTGCAACTAAATATTTCCAATCACCATGTCCAAATCACAGTGTTCAGTGGCATTAATCTTCTTTAAGTGCCACAAAGGTGCTCCACCACGTGCAAATGTGTTACACACTCACCAGACCAATGCGGCCGCCAAAGCAGCCTGCAAGCGTTCAAACAACTAAATCCAGACCATGGAGAGACTTATACCAATCTTTTGCCTAGGATTCACTAATGGTTCTCATTCACCAGAGATAAACAAATAAAAAAAAAACAGAAGGGGCCACCTCCAGGTACGTGGAACGCTCGCCGGCTCTGTGGATATGAGTGGTGGTGAGGGATTGAACATGATATTGGCGCCATCTATAGGCCTTAGGGGAACATGATGTTATCTTTCTCACTAGCTCAAGATGGCAATTTGATATTTGTAGTGATTGATTCCTCTTCTCCATATATGAGAACAATTTTTACTGCTCATATGCAGCTAGGTACCAGTTAGAGATATAAATTCCAGGGGTCCACATGATGCAGAGACAAGATCAAGGTGGGGTCTCTGACAACCTGTCATTATCGATGTGAAATCTGCCCATGCATTGCTTACCCCAAGGCCTTTTTGAAAATGTGAATATTTTATGTCTTTAAAGCTGAAGTCTAGGTATGATCTTTATTGTCTGCTTACATTGATCCAGCTTGCATCTCTCATACCAGAGGGATCACTGTGGAAGGTGACAATCATTGTAGTAGTCGCCACTACTACAGCAAGAGCTTCTGTCTTCTGGGTCCTGTGTCAAGGGACTTTTGTATTTGCATAGTGACCAATGGGGATCACTTGCTCAACACTACTGGCACTTTTACGTTTTCAATGAATGCGAGACATTCTTTGATTGGACGATTTGGAGATGGTGATGTCACCTCTCTGCCTCACCACCTCGTGCAATCAGAGAATGCCTTGTATTCATTAACAAAAGGCCTAAGGGTCTGGATTTTTGGGGGGTATCCCCAAGCCATTTAAAAAAAGAAATGTTGGCATGGTGTTCCCCTTAAAATCCATATGATAACCAAACAGCCTGGTATGGGGTTAGGGAGGATCCCCATGCTGTTTTTTTTTTCTCAAATTTTAATTGCTGGTAATTCTTTAAATTCAGCTGTCAGCGAAGAACCCTGTTGACAGCTGATAAATCATCGGTTGTTAAGTACGCTGCGGCCTGCTTGCAGACCTGCTCCTTACCAAGCAGCTAAACTGGTAAACACCAGCACATAAAAGGAAAAAACGCCTAAAAAAACCCACTAATATTGGGCGTTTTTTTATACAGTGTTTTTCCAGTGTTTTTTTTTTCAGCTGCTAGCGTGCATGGAGCCTGAACATGAATGTGAGGACACTCTCTTCGCTTTGCAGTTACTCCTTAAAACAGTCCCTTCAGCAATAGGACATAAAGTGGACAGCACTGGGACACCATCAGCAATGTCCCAGGCCAGGCAAGCCTTAATATTAGTGCACCAGAGGTTGACAGCAGCAACAGTCAAGTCACTAGGATCCTTCTCTCAGGTCTGTACTCAGTGTCCTTGGGTGTTTGGATGTCTCCCTCCAGACTCGGGCAGACTAGAGCTTCCAGACTGGATGCTTGGTGTAACCCCTCTTCTAGCTCTCAAAGAATTAGCAGCTGAATAGGCCCCCCAGCTATGCACAGCTGGTACCTCAGCTGGTACCTCAATGAGACTAGCAGAATCTTCAGCTGGACTGTCCAGAAGGACAGCAGCTATTCAGGCTGAGATCTTCTCCTCCTGGACAAGACAGGGCAGCTCCAGGCTTCAGACTATTTATGCTCACTCCTACCCACCATCTGGGCACTCTCCCCCAGGGATTGGCTGAGACAACATAAATATTCATATATTGATTTGCTTCATTCAACCCACTACTTTCTAGAATTATCCAGAAGGCAGGGGAAAGCAGTCAAACCCACAACCAGTGAACCTCAAAGCAGACTGGTGAAATCACAAGCAGCTCCACTGATTACAGAAGAGCTACAGAATGAAATTGACCTAATCTAGCACCTGTCTAGGAGGATTCTACAAGTGTATAAATTTGCATGAATTTTACATTTGTTTATTGTGTGGTTTTATATGGTTTCAGAAAGTGTGCATGAAATCTCCCCAACAGGAAACCTGACAGAGGCTCTAACTCATCCCTGCTCTATACAAAATGAACTGAAATGTTTTGACTGGAGTTTGGCTTTAACCTAACCCATTCATCAGACCAATGTAACTCAGGTTATATCAATGTTTTTGTTCCACCAGGCTCGCCTACCAGTTAAATGGATGTCTCCTGAGAGCATTTTCGATGGAATTTATACCATTAAGAGTGATGTTTGGTCATATGGCATATTGCTTTGGGAGATATTCTCACTTGGTATGAAAATTATTCAGAGATAATTCTAGGTTATACCATCCTTGTGTTCCACTCTTAAGTTTCATATTTCCATCTTCAATAGGGGTAAATCCATATCCAGGCATGCCAGTCAATGCAAACTTTTACAAGCTCCTACAAAGTGGATTTAAAATGGACCAGCCATACTATGCTACAGATGAAATGTGAGTGAATAATGCTTATCACCCTGAGGCCTTTTGCTATCAACATCTGTTTTCTTGAGATATTCATTTTAAACATTTCCTTGCAGATATTTCCTGATGCAGTCCTGCTGGGCTTTTAATCCTAAGAAGCGACCATCATTTATAGAACTGGTTTCTTTTTTGGGATATCAAATTTCTAACACCCAATCTGTGGTATGTCACATTTTCACAGAAGTGTAGTATCTGCCGTTATCTGTGGTTGGTGATGGTCATCATCACCACCTTTGCTTTAATTTCTTTTCTACTTATGAAGGTTATTGATTTTAGAATAGGTAAAGGGTTTCCTTGCTAGTTAATCTGTTCTTTTCATAATTTGTCCCTACTTTTTTTTTTATGTTTTGAGTTGCTGAATCACAAAATATTATACAGATTACCTGCACTTCCACAGGATAAACAGTATAGGCTTGTAAACTGTAAAGGCAGATAGTAGTATAAAGATACACATGACTAGAACACACTATGAACTCCAAACTTTTAATTAATATTAAGACTTTAATTATTGGAACTAGAAAGGTTAACTGTCCCTTTAAAAGGACATAGGGGGGTGGATTTACTTTTCAAAACCTGGTGCAGCTCTGCATAGAAACTAACCAGCTTCCAGGGGCACTAGATTTTGAGTGCTTCATTTTTAGTAAATCTCCCCATAAGCTCTTTTATTGATTCCTGGAATACCAAGCAACTTTGCTATATATTATTTTGTTGTCTTTAATTAGTATGCCTATGCTGCAATGCATTCATGTAATTATTGAGCATCACAAGCTGCTGGAAGCAAACAATCTTTCCATACATGTAGTGCTACCCTTGTGAGGGCCGCAGTGTTGTGAGTACCCCTAAGCCTTTCTCTGCACAGCAAGGCAACAGGTATTTCTCACACAGACTTGCATCCAAAAGACAGTGACCAGTCCATGGGCTTGGTTTTGTTGTTTTATTTGGGAGAAATCAACTTGGATAGGCTAATAGGGATTATGGGATGTCCAGGTGGCTTGAATCAATGAAAGGGGGGACACTTCCTTCCTATATACAAAGGCAGATCCTGGACTGTTCTTTTCTTGAAAGCCATCGGTCGTTGCGGATTAGTAGCAACAGCCCTTTATGGACAAGGAACTGGCAGCCCTTCAAAATCAGTTTAACTTCTCGTAACTACATGCAGGGATATTCTCTCTCCCCCTGTAGAGCTGCTCCGAACTCCACAGCCTGAAAACACTACCAGAACTCCTGGCTTCTCGGAAGATCTCTCTGGACAAGGATAAAGGATTGAGTCCAGCGCTATCCTTAGAAAGCCTGCTATATATGGCAGTCTTTCCCCTTTTAGATCCCAGAGAGTGCTGCTGTACTCATTATGTCCTCTTTGCTCCTTGCTGCTCCAGGTCTCCATCCCTCATGCCTCACTGCTGAATGTATCCTCCTGAGCCAGCCTGAGCTCAGCCAGGAGACAAGCCCCCCCCCCCCCCTAGACCTAGGAGACCCCTCCAAGGCACTGAGAGTCTCCTCCATTTTCCACCAGGCTCATCCATCAGCGTGACTCTCCCATATTTATGGGCCAGTCCACCACTCTATCAGGGCCTCCAAACCTAGGATTAGCCTGACTCCCATGCAGAATATGCAGAATATCCACCCCTTCCTGCTTACTGATTTTTGGAAGGTTCTATGGTCCTCCAGAGTCAGAAGGAGGCGATAGAGCCACAACCTGTTAAGTCATCCAGCTGACCTGCAATAACCGACCTCATTCACAGACTAACACAGTTACCATGAGTCATACACAATGATTTTACCTACTATACACTACACTATTCTAGTAGCGTACTAGAGGGTGCTGCATACAATAAGCTAAGTCCTACTCATTTCCCCATGCACAGTATACTTGCACATTATGGCAAAGTTACCTCCTCCAGTTATGAAAGATCTGTGTTGATTCAGTGCCCATATCTTTTTTTCTTCTGCCATTGGGCAACTACTGATGTAACTTCTACACATGCAGGATGGAGCTACATTATCCCGCCACCCAGCTTACTACTCCTGCTACCACACAGTGTAATAAAAAAAAAAATGCTAGTAGACAGGTAAATGATTATTTTGGCTATTTTGGCTTTGACATACATAGGGGGAGATTCACTAAAAACTGATGTACACAGAATCTGTTGCACCTGTACATGGTAACCAATCAGCTTCCAGGTCTTATTGTCAAAGCTTAATTGAACAAGCTGAAGTTAGACGCTGATTGGTTACTATGCACAGCTGCACCCATTCATTGTTAACCAGTGTTAGTAAATCTCCCCTAAAGTCTTTTCTGTTACACTTTTTAGTTCCAGTTTATTGTAAACTGGTGCCTAAGAAAAAGTGTTGATAAACAGATATTAAGTAAACATCTATAGATACCTGCATGTCTCAGTAGTTAAATACTGGCACCATAGGCACAGCCTAGTGAGTTGAGCATAGCAGACTTACTAGCTATCCAGTCCTTTTTTAATTTATATTTCTTCTTTTTTTTGGATGTAGCTTTATCAAAACATGAAGAACATCATGACTGACACAGTTTGTGACAAGATAACAGCCAGCGAAAAGAACATGGATCCTCATTCTATGCTCACACCTCTTATATAACTTACAGCAAATGAGAACACTCATTACCGTTTTGTTTTTAACAAATTTTTCATTAAAGGGACACTATCAATTTTATATTTGTTTTCATTGTTCATTTCACATGGATTGATAATTTCTTTTTTGGCACTGATAAATGAAAAACTAAGAATACATCCACCAGGATCTAAATCATATACATTTTTCTCTTTGTAACAGATGGTTGGATATGAAAAAACAACAACTATGGGGAATATGAAATTGAACAGCTTTTTTTTCTTAACTGGGTGATAGTGTCCCTTTAACTGCATATTGAAATCAGAAGATATGACATGATGATTTATTTTTTATAAGGATGTTGATAAAATTACACATTGAGATTGCAATAGGAAGCACAGAGCTTGCAGTTTCATTGTTCCAGAAGGGCATCCTAGACATTCCTCAAGTACGGTTACTTCTTTCTAAAAAAAAAAAAAGGAGTAATGCAATGGTGTGCACATTATGCAGTAGCAAAGACAACTTGTTTCCTGTGTTTGAGGACTTCTAGAGTTTTCTTTAACTTGGCAGAGGCTGATAAACTTGGACTGGCAGAATATTTGTGATAATAGTAATCAGAGATTGGTGGAAAAGTAACAGACTGATGATTTTTCTTGCTTGATTTGCATGGCTGTATTGATAGGGCTGATGCATGTTAAAAGTGCACTTATTCCTGTGGCCATCCATAATTCATGGTCAAGAAATGACTAGAGTTTGGTTAGCCTCAGCAGTGTCTTGTAGGGGTTAATTTACTATAACTGGAGAGTGCAAAATCTGGTGCAACGAAACCAATCAGCTTCTAGGTTTTTTTGTGAAAGCTTAATTTAACAAGCTGAATTTAGAAACTAACATGCACAGCTGCACCAGATTGCGTACTCTCCTGTTTTAGTAAATCAACCTCATAGTATCTTTGACTTATGGCTAATGGTGTAAATATGGGCAGCCCAGTGGCTAAATGGTTAGCACTTTTGTTTAGCAACACCAGGGTCGTTGGTTCAAATTCCAACCATGGCACTACCTGCTTGGAGTCTGAATGTTCTCCCTATGTTGGTTTCCTCAAGGTACTCCGATTTTCTCCCACACTGCAAAGACATGCTGATAGGTTAATTGGCACCTATCTAAATTTGTCCTGGTATATGTATGTATGAATGTGAGTTAGGGACCATAGATTGTATGCTCCTTCGGGGTTAGGGACTGACATACCTGTAATAAATAATAGACATGTGACTCCCAGAAATATTTGTCTATGTACAGGTGTGGGGGAACAATGTGTGGGCTGTTCCAAACTGGGGTTCTGCTATATGGTGGTTTCCCAGTCCAAGAGTAGTTAAATTAATGGATAGGCACTATTACAGATATTTGGAGAATGTACTTTTTATCAAAGTACATTTGAGTTCTTTTGTAACACTGAAGTCTGTCCCACAGTGTCCATGTTAGGACATCCCTCCTGCATAACCTTCTTTTTATAAGTCTTTGTTTTGACTTCCATCACCTCTGTCTTGGGAGGGTTTTGTCTGTTACCAGTAGTAGAACAAACTTTCTCGCCCATGTTTTGAGTCCACCCGCACCCTGATCTTCACTAATATCCTCCTTAAAAAAGTATTGGAACTTAACTGTGTGATTGTCCCAGTAGTAACAGCTGACAGACAGGTTAGGTAGATGTGAAACAGGAAGAGCTGGAATTGAGGAAAACCTGCTGGAATTACTGGAGTGGACAAATTTAGCCTTAACAAGTGCTACAAGCTGGGAGCAGAAGAGGCCGCAAGGTGTATTTGGAGTAGCAAGCAGGATACAGTAGAAACACTTGCATTTAGTCCTCATGCACACTAGAGATCAGGGTGCTTCTGGACTCAAAATGTGGGTGAGAAAGTTTGTTCTACTACTGGTAACAGACAGAACCCTCCCAAGACAGAGGTGATGGAAGTCAAAACAAAGACTAATAAAAAGAAGGTTATGCAGGAGGGATGTCCTAAGATGGAGACTGTGGGATGGTCTTTGCAACTTGAACAGTGAGGCCGGACACAGGAAAGACATCACCAAGTGCAACTGGAAGACAGATGCTTGACGCAGGA